GGCTTTGCCCAACCACAATTCTGAAGCAGTTGGCCAGAAGGTCATCTCCACCACCAGGACCAGCTAGGGGCTCATCCACACCATCCCAGTTGGTGTTCACCAAGATGTTGTTATGGTTAGTCCCCCTCACCAGGAGGATGAGGGAGAACTGAGGTAGGACTTAAGACTGCTGACCCAGGTGCTAGTAAAAAGGTGGTTTAATGGGGGCCTCACAAAAAGGAACAGAGTCAGTGAATACATACAACCAGGGCTGGGCAAAGACGGCTGAGGAGACCAGGACGACCAGGGGAGTAGACAGACTAACGACAGGAACCAGGAGAGTAGGAGGATCAGGACGGACATGATAGACAAACTACAGTAACTAGGAGGACTAGCGAATGAAAAAAAAAAATATATCCACAGCACAGGAACTGTCAGCATGGACGTCTAGAGACGTATTACACACAAAAAGAAAAACAACAAGTAACCAACGTACAAAATGAGACCCACAGCACAGGACCTGTCAGCGTGGAAATCACAATGAAGTACGACACATACCATGAATAAAGTATATCCACAGGTATGTTGGTATAAGTTCTGTTAATGCTCCGGCGACGACGGAGCGTCTGCCAGAGGTTAAAATAAGGTAGGGAAGTCATTACAGTAACACACCTCAGCTGTGCACGACAAACCACAAGTCACTAATTACAGCAAGCGACACAGCTGAGGTGCTGATCGCACAAAAAGGAAAGAACAGGAGAGAGAAAGGCAAAAGAGAGGCAGGTCGCGCCGAGCAGACCTGACAGATGTAAGATTTGATTCTAAGCTCTAGTTATTTTATAAGCTTTAGTTAGTTACTTTAGTTTCCTTTAGTCACTTTTCAGTTCTTCATTTTCTTTTAGTTACTTTTCATACCTATACTTTCCTTGCTTATACATATTAAAACTGTATTGATGACTGCTGTATTGTACTGAGTGAAACTTTGGAACTGCATGCTGCAAATTCTGTAAAGACAGGATGTCTGTACCTTCAAGTAACCAGACAGCCTATTTTACATTTTAACAAAAACCTGTTGGCCTGTTTTGCACCTTCACCTAGACCCACTTAGCATATTCCAAGTTTTGCTTTGTCATGGGGTGTCCTGCAGAGACAGGGGGCTACAACCTGAGATAACCACCTGGCCTGTTTAGCATACTTAGTAGCATCACACACACAGGGGGGCCTGCAGCCCAGACCACCCATTGCTCAGTGTCCATTGATCAAGAAACACACACAAACACACACACACACACACACACACACCTGGTTTGATCACACTTCAGCAAGCAGATGCAGGCAGGGGTTGAACTGCTCATGCCAAATGGCCAATAAGATTACGAAGTGTGGAATGTTGCACCTCTGTCCGAGGTGGGCCTAGCCCAAGGAGATAAATGTATTGAGAACACATAACTCATAGTTCAGAGAATGGATTTCCTATGTGAGCTCTGTCTCTCTGATCCCAGCGCTGTAAGACTTCACCTTAAAGGCTTCTGTTCCATTATAAAGCCTCATCCGGTTCTTTCAAAACAGGAACTCAGAGGGACGACTCAGACCACTTGAGTATATAAAAAATATAACCGTGCTGGTTTATTCAAAGAGTCACAGGCAAGAATCCACACTTCCAGTCCAGAGATCTTCCAAACCCCCAGCCTGCCAAAGCAGCCCGGAAGCAGAAAGACCCCGAACCAAGCATTGCTATACAATATTAATCCTTTCTGGGCTGTCGAACCGTGACGTCACCTGATATGCCAGCTTGGCAGCTGAGCAGAGCAGTAGACAAAACATGAAGAAAATAATGTGTGTGGCTGTTGTTTTCGTGGTGTGTATCTAAAACAATTTGACATAACATTACACATTAAGACAAATATTATGGTTACTTTTACCGTCATAATAACATTCGTCCCTGACTGCCGCCTTTCTCTGCTTTTAACTAACCTTGCATTTAACAGCCTGAGGAAGACATCCTGGCTGCACTAACATTCCTAGACAACAAATCTCTGACTATCTATCTAACTAAAAAATAACCTAACAACCTGTGCCCT